ACCCTCACTGATTCCCATTCTCATTCGACTGCGGCGGCAGCGGCGGGTTCGTTTTACTGCCACTTCAATTCCGCTAACCCACCCGCCACCCTCCACCCCCTTTTTACACCACCCACGCAAAGTTGTGTGTCCTTGCACGCTCGTTTCCTGTTCGTTTTGGGCGACAGGCCACGATTGGGAGTGCGATTTCTTGCCCACCGCCACCCACATCCTCCCCCTTCAATTCTCTTCCTTTCCTTTATTCTCCTTTTTCGCCATACACGCCCCGTTTCGGTTCAGAGTTTACATTTTATATGTGTCCTTTTTTCTTTTCCCTTATTTTTCTTTCCTCTTTTTTTTTTGCACAGTTTTCTTGTTGAGGCGAAAGGGCAATTTCCTACCCAACTGCCTGGCCTGCCTGGCGATACATATCCTTTATGGTGAAATATGTATTTTCCAACTAAAGAAACATCCTTGCCAGCCTAGAGTGTCCTTTGAGTGTGTTTCTTTTCTTATTTAAGACTCTTAAATTAAGAGCAAGGGTTTGGGGAGTTTGAGATAAAAACTGAGATAAAATAATACTCTCACCTTTAAGCTCTGTTTTTTTTTTTGTGAGAATATCTCAATTTGTAACTGTGTTAATGGCTTAATTGAGTAAATAAAAAGCTCATGAATAATTGAGAGATTGGAAGGTGATTGAAAGGCCAAGACTTTGATAAAAAGATTATAGATTGGATTATACCCGAAAACCTATTACTCCTATTATCTAATAGATAAAAACTTAATACAGACATTGTTTTCCACTCACCAAATACTCTCTCTATTGATTGATAAAAAAAAAAAAATGAGATCAAGTGAGAAACTGGAACTTGTTGCAGCAAGAACTGCACTCAGTCAGAAGACCTAGTGGTAGGGAGGGGGGATGGCGGGCTTGAGTCGAAGATCGCGCCAGACGATGACGCAGACTGTGGACTGTAATTGAAGTAAAAACCCGTGGAGTGGGGGATGTGCTGTCTGCTCTTTGAATATCTTGTTATTGTTGTTGTTGTTGTTGCCGTCGCTTTTGCTTTGAGTCAATAACCTCTCACTCAACCAGCAGAAGAAGCTGAAGAAGAAGAAGAAGACGAGCACATGAAGCACTCACATTCCCCACTCCCGCCCCAACATTCCCTACTGGAACAAGAAGTCAACGTGAACAATGTGAGGAGCCAAAACAACAACAATAACAAAAAGTGAACTCAAAACCAGGCATAAACAAAAAAAAAAAAAAAAAACAAAACAGCAAAGCTAGAACTAAAGAATGGGAAGGAGGAGTACAGAACCATACCTAAAATCTAAAATCCCCAAGAATGCGGAGCAAAGAAGAAGAAAAAAAAAGAGTAAATAAATGCATTCAAGTGATGTCCAGTTGGCTTTTAAGAGTGTATATGTGTGTGTGTGTGTGTGATTGGTGTTGGTAACTCTGAGTGATCAAGCCGTGTGAGAACCAAACGGAATTGAAACGCGAATGGGAGCTTGTGGGAGCTTTATTTACACATTATTAAGTCTATGACTAAAGATGTGCTTTAGTAATTAGTTTCTATAGCCTCTATATCTTCGATATCTTAAAGACCAGCTGGTTATAACACAAATAAGCTTTTTTAATGGCAAATCAAACGCGTGTGCATGGAATTTGTGTGTATAGCCGAAAGATATAACACGAATTCGAACAACACCAGTGGTGTCACTTTTTTCTGAGCAAAAAAAGCTGGATCAACGAAAAAAAAAAGCTAAAAAAAGCGGAATACCAGAGAAAAAAAGTTAAGAAAAAAACTGATTTTTATAAGGCAATGTACTGCATGTTATTCACTAATAAGCCCTCAGTTCCACTTAACATAAAATATATGGGTAATTCTCTAACGGATATCATTACAAAGAAACCAAAAAAAAACAATAATGTACAAAAATTAAGATCTATATTATATTTAAGATGTCGTCAATATTATCATCATCATCAGTTGGATAAAATTTCTTGTCTTCAATTGTAGATAGGCAGCTGGGTGGTATATTATAGTTAAAACAGCACATATTGTGTCGACGCAGCCCGTACCTCAAATTTTAAGTAAATTAATTTATAATTTTAAGATACAAATTAAAATATGGACCTTATACTCAGTATAGCGTTTAACGTTTCAACGCTCATGTTATTTCGAATTTTCGTTTTTATTAAATGTACTTGGCTGAATAACCGCTCGACGTCGGCATTCGACCAAGGCAGGACTGCATTTGCAGAGCAACTGAAGCCAATTCCTGAAAACGGCAGTTTCCGCCAGAATCCCGATATTTAAGAACTTCAGCCCAGAACTTAACAGTATCATCGACATTTTCCCACTCTACCATGGTTATGTCGTTGTACAGTCGTTAAATTTTATCTATATTAGGAGTACCAAAATAATCAAGGATTGGAGAGATTTGTTTCTTTTTGAATGCATCAAAAAGTAAACAAAAAAAAAAAAGCTGCGTAAATTTGCTCAAAAAGCCAGAATTCCCGCTGCCCGCTGTTTTCATATTTTTCCCGCAATCACGCTTTAAAAAAACCCAGATCTGACGGGAAAAAAGCGGAAATGACACCACTGAACAACACACATGGTCACGAACAAAAACAAAAAAGGGGGTTGGGGGGAGGAGGGGGGAAAAAGCGAAAAAAAAAAAAAGCAAACTCATGAGCGATGGACAGACAGTCGGCCAATTGAGCTAGAGAGAAGATAATCAAGAGCAAACAATGGACTTGCAAGGGGCGCTGGCACGGGGGGCATGGGCGGCAAGAGGAGCAGAAGCGGAGTGACGCCAGCACAATATGAGAAGAATTTCACATTTGTTCGCTGTTGTCACTCACAAATATTGATGGGCGGCCGAGGGTGGTGGGAGTGAGAGCGAAGTATCGTGGCGAGTCACACCACAACACGCACACACATCTAGCGCAAAAAAAAAAAAAAAAATAATATAAAGTGAACCGAGCTCCAGAACCGCACACCTTCTCCAGTCGTTGACGTCGACAGCGCTGCCACCCCCGCGACGCTGGCCGAGGCAGCAAAGTGTGGCAGTGTCAAAGACAAATGCCCGAATAATATTGCTCCCCATTTCTTCCTCTTCCTCTGCCACTGCTTCGGCCATTTGCGGTTTGGGTGAACCCCAAGCAGAGCCCAAAATGAGAAAGAAGAAGAATTACGAGAAGCAGCCGCCGAACGAGAACTGAACAGTTACAGTTCTACTTGCCAAAAAACAACGTACCTGTCGGCTTTGTTTTAAATATATATATATTTTTTTTTTGACCTACCACAAAACGGGTAGGTAACCACACATGTCATTCACTTGATATTAAAAAAAAAAAGCTTACAAGGTCGTCTGAAAAAAGTAAAGAGGAAATGAAAAGTTTAGCTCTATTAAAAACAGATCAATGGAAACCACATAAAAAAAAAAAAAAATAATTATTATTGATGTTCCACTGTATGGCCAAGACAAGGCGTTCGGCCAGTTTGTTTTATTTCTCGCTCGTTATAAATTGCCAGTGCTCTTTCACTCGCAGACTCCCCCCACTCCCCAACCCTGCTGCCGCGTCACACCGTTACGGTTAACCCCCACCCCCTGATAAGAGCGCACATCTGTCGCCTGCCGATGCGTGACAACTCAAAGAAAGGCTGACTGGCCGGGCCGGGCTGAGAGAAAGAAAGAAAGAAAAAAAAAAAACAGTGCGCAATTACAGTTATTAGCGAGCCGGTCGCCCAACAGTGGGCCCCACCTTTGCTGACTAAATGCTTGCTCATTAAAGTGATTAATACAGGCAAAACGTTCTATAACAACAACAACAACAAAAACACTAGCAAAAAAAAACCTGTGCAAAAAACTCTACAATTATCAACCACTGTGCGTGGCAACAACAACAACAATAAAAACACTACACGGCGAAGAAGCGGCGACCATTCATTCTCTGTTTCGTTTCCACTTGTAACACGGTTCGCCGCGTCGCGACTCTATTCCATCCACCGCCACCTTACCCGGTTCGTACTTCACCGCCCGGTTCGCTCTTTTCATCGAGTTTCGAGCAAAACGCGGCTGCCTCTGCCGACAAAACTTCAAACGCAGACGGACGCGTCGCGGTGCTGCGGCTCTTGTAAATATTGTTGTAAAAACTATTCCATTTCCTTGGAAAAAGAAAAATGTAAAACGTTTGTCACACCCGTTCACCGAAAAAAGGCAATAAAAAATAACACCAATTAAGTGGTAGCATCTGAAGAATTAGAAAAGGCAGTGGGGGAAAACAAGGCAGCGAGCCAGTTTCATGAATGAAATTGTAAAAGTGCAAAAAAAACGCTCACATAAAAAGTGCAAAATGCTTTGAACAAAATTTTTCTCTTTTTTTTTCTCGCCTTGTGTATGCATCGGGTTTCGCCGCTGCAGTTCGTGTGTGTATGTGTGTGAGTGGATATTGATATTAAGAACTGCCTCACTTGTTTAAATAATTAAATTAGTCAATAAAACTATTTAATAGTTAAAGTTTGATTTAAAACTAATTTTATTTTATTTATTTTACTCATAAATGCAATTTTGTGCGTAAATTGAATTTCGCCGTGGATTTTGTTTGGCCTGCGCCTTGAATTCGCCGCTCTGCCGCCGAATGCAGGTGTAGTGGTGAGAGTGGCTTCGTGTGCTCTCTTTTTTTGCTCTCTCGTTTGTTTGCTCTCTCTCGTTCTCATGCGGCTTCTGCCTCTGATTCATATGTGTGCGTGTGTGTGTGTTGTGTGGCGTGTAGTTTTTTTTAGTTTTGTTTTGCTTTTCATATTTCAATTGTTTTATCTTTGTGCTCGAGATTCTCCAAAGCGCTGTGGCATTGCCAACACAAAGTGTGGAGTAAAAAGGAGCGCAAGGATGTGGCGAATCCGATGGGTTGATTGATAAATGTTATTCTAAGGATAATTATTGACTTTATTAATAAAATAAAATTAAATTAATTAATTAATCTTTTTTTTTTTATTTATTTTTAGATCTTAACGCATGTTACGCACAATAATCTCCATTAGCATCTAACGGGCTTTGAACATGAACAAAAATGCCGGCGATGGCAGCGGCAACGACGGCAAAAACTCCAACAGTCACGGCGGGAAGGGCGGCGGCGGAAACGCGGGCGGGGCCGGTGGTGCCGGAGGCCCGCACGATCCCACCGGCCTCCTAGATGCAGCCTCCCTCTTCGGTAAGTCCCCCAAACCCATCTAAAATCATAAACTCTATTAACTTTTATCGTCCTGCAGCTTACTGGGGCCGTGATCCCACTGGAGCGGCGGCTGCCGCTGCCTCCAATCCACTCTTCAATTCCCAGTTCAATGCCGCGGCAGCCGCAGGCTTGGGTCTGCTGCCGAATGCAGCCGGCGCCGCGGCCAACGATCGCTATTCCATGGCCGCAGCAGCGGCGGCGGCGGCGGGAGCGCATCATCACCAGAACACGATGGCGGTGGCCGCCTCCCAGGCCGCCAGTTTGGCAGGTCTGCATCCAGCAAGTGAGTAAAATGTCGGCATAACCGATTTCAAGAGGTTCCCCTCCCTGGTCAGAACCGGAAGTGTAGAAGCAGCAAGGGATGTGGTGGTATGGAGGTTAAACAGCAAGTGCCTGGTGATCCCTGCCGGGCATTTGAAGAAAACGCTCCTAGAACAGACTCTCAGCTGGCTGTTCGCTTTACACTGGCCACTGGACTCCACAAGGGTCGGGTCGGTGAAAAATGGTCCAGCACATATATTTTAGGTTACTAACTAATGGAAGGCTATAGGACTTCAAGGACTAACCCCGACCTTATAGTAATTCCCTTCCACAACCCATTCTAACTTGACCTTGAATCCCTTTCCAGGCTGGTGGTCGATGGCTCAATTGGCCGCCCAGGACTACTTCAGTCGCCTGCAGGCGTCGGGACTCTCGCCATTCCCCCATCCCGATCTGGCGGCCGCATTCGGGCCGGGTGGCATGGGCATGGGAGCGGGAGCCGGCGGAGCAAGCGGTGGAGCCGGAGGTGGCGTCCTAGGTGCTGGATCTAGCGGCGGAGGAGGAGGTGGAGGTGGCAATGGTGGCTCCTCGTCAGGATCCTCTGGCAGCAAGTCGAACAAGTCCCGGAAGGAGAAACGGGCCGCCCAGCAGCAGCAGCAACAGCAGCAGAGCCTGGCCAACAGCCTGAATGCGGCTGCGGCGGCGGCTGCAGCAGCAGCGGCCAACAACCCGGCAGCGGCACTGGCCAGCATGCACGGATTCGGAGTGGGCGGTATGCCGGGCACCAGCCTACCGCAGTCGGTGAGCACGGGCAGCGGATCCATCTCCACTAACAGCGGAGGTCATGGAGGCTACAAGGTGGGAAGACACTCCCCTGGTCCTCAAACGCACCTCTATAATGCTACTTTCCATTTCAGAACACGGCCAGCGCGTATGGGAAGCCATCGACGATGACTAGCAGCAGCATTTCCAGCAACCCGGGCTCAGCCTACGACCCAGTGACCCTCCACAAGGAGCTCCTGGCCATGCAGGCGGTGGCCGCTGCGGCCTCTGGCTCGGGTTCGGGCGGATCCTCCGGCAAGAAGTCTGGCGGAGGCAGCTCGTCCTCCTCCACGATGCATGGTCATGGTATGGGACTAGGAAGTGGCTCGGGGATGATGTCTGGAGGCAAGAACTCCACCAGTGTGAGCGCCAGCAACGCCTCGCTGGCAGGAATGCATCCCAGCCTAGCGAGCAGCAATCCACTGATGTCACCGCACTCGGCACTGGGCAACTCGTCCGGTGGCTCGTCCGGTAAGGATCGGGACAAAAACAATCCCTCGCTGAACGCTCTCAACTCACTGACCCAGTTTGGGGCTTTGGGGATGACGCCGCAACAGAGCATGCAGGCGGCGATGAATGCCTTTGCGGCCAGCACTGGAGTCTCGCCCTCGGCCACGGTCACCTCCTCGGCACATCCCTCTGGTCAGCAGCAGCATGGCGGAAGCAATTCCACGGCCGGATCAGGAGGAAAGAACAGCGCCAAGGACTATATGATGGGGTGAGTACCTGGGAGAAGCTATAGAAAGGACTTCTTAAGTAATTCCTTCATTCTATAGGACTGGCAGTGAACACCCATCCCTGCTAGGAGTTCGCCTGCCACCGGACACGGAGATCATCAAGTACACGTCCTCGATTGTGGGACCCAAGATACCTGGTACTACCTCGCGCGGTCGCAAAAAGACTATATCCGAAACTGAACAGACATCGACACAACAACAACAACAACAGAAATCACAACAACAACAACAACAACACCAAGCAGAACAACACCTACTCCAACAACAACAACAAGCACAAAAAGAGCTCGATAGCACCACAAATGCCATTTCCTCTCTGCTTGCATTTCCAGGTCTGAGTCCCGCGAAGCGGGCTAGACTCGAAATGGAGTACGCGGCGATGGCGGCGGCCGCCCAACAACAGCACCAGCAGCAGCAGCAGCTCCACGGTATGCTGGGCGCAGCCGGTATCCCCGGCATGGCTGGATTGGCCGGCTTGCCGGGGGTGGGAGGCGGTGCTGGATCAGGATCAGGAGCTGGAGCCAATCCCCTCGATCAGTTGAGCGTTAGCAAGTCCAGTTCCTCCACGGCAGCCACTACCAGTTCGAGTTCCTCATCCTCGGCCAGCAATCTGCTCAACCAGAGCTCCAGTGATCGGGTGGAGGTCATCAAGTTGCCGCCCACCATCACCTCCAACGGGGCCTACAATCTCTCCAGCAAGGGCAAGGAGGTGCACGACCTGACCACCGATCATGCGCCCGCCTCCGGTGGCGTCAATCTCAGCCTGAAGGCCAACGCCAACGCCGCACCGCCCGCCGGAGCAGTCGGCTCGGCCTCGAATCCCATTACCATTGACGACTTTGACGCCCCTCTGAACCTATCGATGAAGCCCTCGGACAAGAGCAGCACTCCCGCTGCTTCCGGCGGAGGATCAGCGTCCTCCTCCAGTGCGGCACTGGTCAACTTGGCCAGCGACTACCAGGCGGCTGCTGGAGGCCAGGGGAATAGCCTGCAGAGCTTGAGCTCCATCACCGCCGCCCTGGGAGGGGCTGGTGGCATGCCAGGTGGCTCTATCTCCGGCAGTGGCGGCACCTCGCCCTCGCCAGCATCGGCGGGCACCGGGGCAGGTGCTTCTGCCGGATCTGGGTCAGCTTCGGGCGGAGGTTCCTCCTCCTACAAGGAGGGCCGTCCCAGGAATCTGGGACGCGGCGTGTCCAAGCCGAAGAAGAACACCGTGGCCTCGCTGTTGGCCCAATCTCGGGCCGTTGGTCTGAAGCCCATGCTGGCCACCCAGCAGTTGCTGCAACAGGGTGCCGATATTGTAAGTAATCTTGGGGTTATCTCGCGAGGATTACAACTCTAATCTGTCATCCTCTTTTTAGGAAAAAATTCGCTTGGCGTTGAGCGAAGCCAATGCCCACATGGAGACATCTACGGATTCGGAGAGCGTGGCGGCCGAGAGCGGCCTGTCGGAGTCGGAGAGCGAGGATGCCAATATTCTGAATGTGGCCGAGCTGAGGGTGCCACTGGAGCTGGGATGGAAGCGTGAAACCGTCATCCGGGGCTTGACCAAGCAGGGCCAGATCCGGGGCGAGGTCACCTACTACGCGCCTGGCAGCACGACGGCCCTGAAGAGCATCGGCCAGGTTTTTGCTGTGAGTTTGTAGGGCCACCTTTTTTGAATAGTTTTGGCAGAACACTTTTCGAAATCCAAGATCCAATCCCAATTGGCAGGACACCACACAGCCTAGTCCTCTTCCGAAGAGATGCCTAACCTTGTTATTGCTTTTCCACAGATCCTGGAACAGCAGCCATCGAATCTGAGTCGCGAGAACTTCAGCTTCTCGGCCAGGGCCATTGTGGGATCGTTCCTGCAGCCGGCACCACCGCCATACGCCAACGATGGCGAGTACATTCGCATGACGGACGAGGATGTGGCCAAGCGGCTGGAGGACCTCAAGGTCTTCACCCGCCAGACCCTCAATGTGGAGCAGCGTATTGAGATCGCCAAGCAGCAGCAGGCGATGCGGGATGCCAAGAAGCTCCAAAAGGAGGAGCTGGCCAAGAACAAGGAGAAGGCGCGCCAAGAGAAGAACGCCAAGCTGGAGCAGCAGCGCAAGGAGAAGGAGCTCAAGAACCAGCAGGCCATCGAGGTGAGATTTTAAGAAAGAAGGTCCTTGTACTCCTACTAATGGGTATGTCTTTGTAGGAGAGGAAGAAGCGCCAGGAGGAACTGGATCGTCTCAAGCAGGAGGAGCTGCTCAAGAAGCAACAGGTTAGTTGGTGAACACTTGACCTCCAGTTGGAATATATCCATAATTTGTGTTTTATTTTGCAAATAGGAGAAAGAGAAGCGTCGTCAAGAGGCCATATTAGCTAAGGAACAGGTACTGCTTACCTAGCCCATTGGTTCCCAGTTTAGAAACTCTATCCTTATGGCCTTTAGTTTATTCAATTAATTAGCCTAGTATCTTAGATTAAAGCTTAGTATCTAGGATTAAAGCTTTACAATTTTGTTTAATATTTTGGTTTTTTTTTTTTTAAATAATTTTCCAACCAGTTTCCTTGCCTTTTCTTTAGTTTTTCTTTAGGGATTCGACTTGCTGCTTTAAACTATTGCTTCTTAATTATAATTTAATAATTTTTTAAATTTAAAAACTATATTTTTTTAACAAAAAACCCTTGGATATCTTGCAGGAATTACAAAAACAAAAGGAAATGCTACTGGCTGCCGAAATGGTAAGAAATACTACAAGTCCTTTGAGGTCCTTTTCTTTAAAAACCAACCCTTATCCTTCCAGGAACGTGAGCGTCGCCGCCAGCACATGAACCTAATCCGCATGCTGGAAATCCGTCGCAAGTTCGAGGAACGCGAAAAGAAGAAACACCAACTGGTGCTGGACCGTCTCTTGTTGCGAGAACGCCGCATGGCGGAGAGGAAGCGCGATGCCGAGATCCTGCAGTTGATCCGACGACCCAACGAAGACTCGGAACTGCCGCAGGAGTTGGCCATCCCGGAACTGGACAGAATCGCCGGCAATCGCTTGCCCGGACAGGCCATGGCCGATCTGCTGATGGTCTTTGAATTCCTGCACAACTTCGGGGAGACTCTGGGCTTCGACATGGAGTCGCTGCCCTCGCTACAGAATCTCCACGATGCTCTGATGAGCGACAGCAATGTGGATGCCGAGGAGGAGCTCTTGTCGGTGATGACACACCTGCTGGTGTGCGCCATCGAGGATCCGGGCGTGCCGAATCCGGGCAGGCACACCACTCTGCTGGGACAATCGCTGCGCAACGCAGACATCACCAACTCGAATGTGTCGGAGATCCTGAGGATCTACCTGTATGCCACCGCCACCGGTGAGGTGAGGCAGATGCATGGCATAACCGTGGACCGGGAACGGGAGCGAAGGGTGCCGGACCACCATCAGCTGGATGCCGATGCCGCCCACTCGCACTCGGCCAAGAACCATGAGTACTACAAGCTCCTCCACGAGAACGACACCTGGAAACTGTCACAATTTTTGAAGGATCGGCCGTTCGTGGCCCTGAACCCCACCCGGAAGGCCCAGATGCTGGCCCACCTCTGCAACGACTTGCTGATGAACAAGGCGGTGCTCCGGCAGATCGACGGCAGTTTGGAGACCTGCGCCCAGATGCGCAAGGAGAAGTACATGACGGACATGAAGGTGCGCAAGTACAAGGCCCTCCACCTGCGCAAGGCGCGCATCGAGGCCTACGAGCGGGCCCAGGCGGAGCGCGAGGCGGCCATGCAGGCGCTGGTGGCGCAGCAGAAGCTGGACGCCGAGCGCCAGAAGCAGGCGGAGGAGGAGGCCAAGGCGGCGGCTGCCGAGGGAGCAGCTGCTGCAGCCACGGATGGCGAGACTGCCACCAAGAACGCCTCTCCCAATGGCGAGAAAACGGATGGGGAAGACCAGGACGAGCAGCATGCCGCCACCAAGGAGTCGCAGCCGCAGCAGCCCATGGAGGTGGACGGCGTGGCGGATGAGGAGTCGCTGGTCAGCCCGGCCAAGAGCATCTCCCAGGTGGACAACAGCCTGACGCCCATCAAGCAGGACAATGCCACGCCCACCTACCAGCATAATGGCTCGAGTACTCCGACCACGAGCGGCGGAGCTTCTGGCGACATGAACGCCCTGTTGCAGGCCAAGAAGAGCGGCGCCCGCAACTCCATCAACGACGAGCAGCATCCTGGCCACGACGTGAGCATCATCGATGACGATCTCTCTGACCTGGACTCGGAGATCACGAACGTGGAGGAGGACGAGGACAATCGCCTGAGTGCAGACGAGCTGCAGAAGAAGCTGGACAAGATCGTGCGGGCCTCGCTCAACTGCAAGGAGGCGCTGGAGAAGAGCACCAACCAGCTGAGGGCCGCCTGCTTCGGGCAGGATCGCTTCTGGCGGCGCTACTGGAAGCTGCCCAAGGCCGGGGGCATCTTCATTGAGGCCCTGGAGTCGGCCCAGAATGATATCTGCGAGTACCACGAGGCCCTGGAGGGCATGGACGAGAAGAAGGAAGAGACCAAGGAGACCGATCACTCGGAGAACTCGGAAACGGAGGCCAAGGACGATGAGGCCATGGAAGTGGACACCTCACGGTCGGAGCTCGAGGACGGGCCTCCGGCTCAGCTGCCAGATCCCTCAGCCGAACCAAACCGGGAGCAGGAGCCGGAAGAGGAGGACGACGACGATGACGTCACAGAGATTAACAAAGTAGAGCCCGAGATCGTGGATCTGGGCGATGACGACGACGATGCACCGCCTCCGCCGCCACCCGTCAAGCCCGATCCGCCACGCCCGGAGATCAAGGTCAAGTCTGAGATGGAGCTGATGGGCCCGCCGCCCACCACCATGATCTCCACCAAGACGGACTTTGAGGCCGAGATCAAGATACCCGCCATGCCCGGCATCCTGATGCCCCCCATCCTCAACAACAACAACAACAGCAGCAACAACAACAACAACGGAAGCGACAACTGTGATAAGTCGGACGCGGGTCTGATCCAGCAGCAGAACTTCGGCCAGCCGGTCATCAAGATGGAGGACCTGAAGAAGGAGGACGACTGCATCATAGTGTCCACCACGAGCGTGGACGATACACCCAAGTGGTTCTCGATAGTGCGACGGGAGGTGCCGCTGATCAGCGAGCTGCCGGCGGAGGAGGGCGGCGTGGTGGCCCAGGAGCTGCAGTACAACTACGCCAACCACAACTGCTCCGCCCAGCTGCAGCTGCAGGGCCATCCCTGGGATCTGATCAACAACATGCAGTACTACTCGATCCCGATGGACGAGTGCAAGGTGGACACCAGCAAGCTGGGCCACGAGTGCATCTTCTCGCTGAGCGGTCTCGACGAGAAGCAGATGCTGGCTAAGGTGGCCGAGTTCAAGGCCCACAAGGCGGAGTCAAAAAACGGTCTGGGCTCTCCTCATCGCCACCACGAGACTGAAGATGATGATGAGGAGCAGGCCAAGCTGAAAGTGGACAAGATGGAGTGCGATGGCGGTGACCGCGACCTGGACACGGATGCCAATGATCTTGCCGGCAAGGACAAGTTTTTTCGCTTGCGCTCTGACGCCCCCCCGGACACGGGAGGAGGGAGCGCCGGAGGAGCGGATGCCGGCGAGCTGAAGCCCAAGATTGAGCTGCGCCTGGACGAGGCGCTGTCGCAGGCCTACTACCACAACATAGCCAACATGTCGCTGAGCAGCGTCCAGACGTACATACCCATTGACATTCCACTGCCCCTCTCCATGACCCCCGACGAGCACCGTCTGCTGGAGCAGGTCAAGGTGTCGGGATTCCCCAAGCGAGTCCACGGCGTCTATGTGCCGCGCAAGCAGCGCTACGGCTGGTGGCAGCTGGACGACGAACAGAAGCTCCGCCAGCTCCTCAAGAACCTGAACCCGTCGGGACTGAGGGAACGCGAGCTGCAGGAGAACCTGCAGCGCTTCCTGGGCCTGGAGCAGCCCTTGGGCGTCAACTATCAGCTGAAACCGGATCCCGAGCACGACGTGGAGTTCATGATGCCGGATAAGCCCAACGATTGGAATCCCAAGGTGGCCAAGCGGGTGGAACTGGCGCTGCTGGAGCAGCTGGAGTCTCTGGAGGACAAGGTGGCCAGTGCTTCCATGCAGCTGAAGAACTGGCAGCTGCCCAACCGCGTCGAGAGCGAGCTGACCCTGGACTCGCAGGAGGAGATCACCGAGGAGGACTTTGTCAGCATGATACCCATGATCCGGGAGCGGATTATCGATCTGGAGGCGAACATTGAGCGGCGCTACCTGAAGCCGCCGCTGGGCTCCCAGACGGGCGACGCCCACCTGGCGGTGATTGCCCAGAACCAGCACACCACCACCCAGACCCAGAACTCGGCCTCCGCTGCCGCCTATCTCCTCCAGATGCAGCAGCAGCAGGCCCAGTTGCAACAGCAGCAGCAACAAGGAGCCGGCAATGGCAACAATCTGAATGCCTCCTCCTTCAACGAGCGCACCATGGCTCTGGCGGCGGCAGCAGCCGCCTCGGGAGTCGGTGGAGGAGCCACCCCCGGCGAATCGGGCAGCGGAGATCCCAACTCTGGAAATGCCTCGCCGGCCAGCAACTGCGACAGCGATCGGGACGAGAAGGTGGAGAACATACCCAAGGGACTGGTCCAGTGGCGCGATGCAGTGGCTCGGTCCCACACCACCGCCCAGCTGGCGATGGCCCTGTACGTCCTGGAGTCCTGCGTGGCCTGGGACAAGAGCATCATGAAAGCGGTAAGAAAACGGAGCTGCTCCTCCCGTTAGAGACTCCTCCTCGAACTTGGAAACCCCATGCTTGGCACCCCCTCCTCCCCGTTTGTGGTCCATCTCCATGTTGTTTTGGCTGCACTAACACACTCACACACACACACTGCCACTCACTAACTCACAGATACACATCCTCACACTCATACTCACACAGCATACACTGCACATAATTTTTTGTGTTTAGTTTAAAAAAAATATATATTTAAAATATTAAAAAGAATTATTAAAAATGAAAAGAATTTTTGCACGGTTTTTGGTTCTATTTTTTAAATTAAAATTTTAAATATTCTTATTCTACTTTTTTCTTTAAAAATGATTAAATTCTTGCTTAAAAACTGCTTTAATTCTTTTCAATATATTTTTAAAATTTTAATAATTTCTGCATAGTAGTGTAGCTTGTTTTTAAAAAACTTAAATTTCCTAAAAAATAAAAGAAAACATTTAACCTCATTACCCCTTTACTGCATCTCTGGAAATTGCCTGTGAAAATAATTAAAAATTTTTCTTTATTTATTTCTTCCATTTATTTTTATGTTTTTTTTTAACTCTGTCTCTTGCTGAATGTTTGACTTGTTTGTTGTTTGTGGTGTTCATGGTGTTCTTGTTTGGAAAACAAAAAAAAAAAATACAACAAAAAAAATTAACGCTTTCATACTCACACACATACATACACATAATACACACACACCAAAATATGCCTCATATAACATATACATACACATAATTGCTTCTGTTGCCCCGATAACCGTTATTTTCGTACCGACCAAATCGAACCCCTTACGAACCACCCACCCCCCCACCATTTCCGTTTCGAACTCGAATTTTTCGGACATCGAACTGCCATCCGAAAAGTATGCAACAAAAAACAAGTCGAGCAAGAAGAAGAGCAGCGCCAAAAAGCAGGCAACACCAACGAGTAAAAAGCAAAGGAAAGAAAAGGATCATCCACCTGTGGCATCTGCCACCAATGGCAAGAAGAAGAAGGATGCCACACCCAAGAAGCAACCTCCTCCGCTGAGCATTAAAATCAATCTGAAGGCTTTGGCGCAGAATGGGGGAAATTCAAACAAATCCTATTATCCTATAGCGCAATCCCAATCCCAATCCCAGTCCCAAACCTCATCCCCATCCCCCGCTAGCGACTCAGACTCGGACTTTGCGACACGAACGAAGAAGAGCGGCAAACGCAGACGCTCCGGCACGAAACCAAACTCTAGCAAATATTCCAAATCGAATTCCTTACAGAATTGCCAGTTCTGCACATCCGGAGAGAACGAGGACAAGCTGCTCCTGTGCGATGGCTGCGACAAGGGCTACCACACCTACTGCTTTAAGCCCAAGATGGACAACATTCCGGACGGCGATTGGTGAGTAGCCAGCCACTCTCTTGGTATTCCTTCTCATCCTTCTCGTCCATCCCTCACCGACCATCATCTCTCACATTCAAAATTAATCCGTTAATCCACCCATTAACGCGTTGTCTTGTGGAGCGTTTTTTGATCGTAAACTGGCACCTGTTTTCCTCCTCCCAGAACTATACTCTTCCCAAGGTCCCTCCCCGACTGTAATCCACTTTCATTAACCCAAAACGATGTTATATTTCCAGGTACTGTTATGAGTGCGTGAACAAGGCCACCAACGAGAGGAAGTGCATCGTTTGTGGCGGCCATCGTCCGTCACCCGTCGGCAAGATGATCTACTGCGATCTGTGCCCGCGCGCCTACCACGCCGACTGCTACATTCCACCCCTGTTGAAGGTGCCGCGCGGCAAGTGGTACTGCCACGGATGCATCTCGCGTGCCCCGCCGCCCAAGAAGCGTAGCGGCGGTGGTAGCGGCAGCAGCAGCAGCAAATCTCGCCGGGATCGGGACCGAGACAGAGATTCGAGTAGTAAGCGCAGAAGCGACAACAAGCCGCAGCCCATGGAACAGATGCAGATGCAGCAGATCCAACAGATGGCTGGCGGAGGAGACTCGCAGTTGCAGCATCATCCACATCAGCAGCTGAACTCCTCGCATGACGAGTCGATGAACTCGCTACCGGCGGCTCTGAGGTGAGTGTGGGGGCCCGCGGGCGGCTGAGGGGGCGGCGGAGTCCAGGAGGGTCCAGGGTCCAGTGTCCAGTTTATAATGCCAATGCATTCTCTGCTCTCTGCTCTGTGTGTTGGCAGTCCGGCGCACTCGGTGGCCTCGGCAAACGCATCGTTCGATGACCAGCATCACACCAACACCAACTCGGTCGACGGCAGCAGCAGCAGCACCCGCTTCCAGGCGGCAATGCATCTGGGGGGCAACCACCTGACCCAACCCACCACTTCCAACAACGGGTCAGCGGCGCTGCTCGAGGAGGCCAATGTCGCCAATGCCAGCATAATGCCCAGCTATCCGGTTTATCCGCCGGTTGGCGGCAACTTCTCGGCCGGATTGGTCAATCCCTCGCCCATGCAGTTCGTGGCCTCCATGTCGCCGCGCGCCGTAACACCGACGCGCACCCGAACACCCACGCCAACGCCTGCCCCGGTGCCCACTCCTCCGCCACCGCCACTGGGGTCCCTGCAGCCGCCGACGCCCCTCCTCATGCAGGCCTCACCCACCACCGCCCTCCATTTATCCGCCTGCCAGTCGCCACCCCAGCAGCACCATCAGCAGCAGCAGCAGCATCAGCCACTGATGACCATGCCCTCGCCACCAGCCTTGGGAGCCGCAGGTGTCGGCGGCGTAACACAAATGTCACCGCCGCCCATCAATATCCATGCCATTCAGGAGGCCAAGGAGAAGCTGAAGCAGGAGAAGAAGGAGAAGCATGCCACCAAGAAGCTCATCAAGGAGCTAGCCGTCTGCAAGACGCTACTGGGGGAAATGGAGGTGGGCATCCATTTCAAGATCTCTTAAAGATAAAGGTTAATCATTTTTGTCATCTCCAATAGCTCCATGAGGACTCGTGGCCATTCCTATTGCCAGTGAACACCAAGCAGTTTCCCACATATCGAAAAATAATCAAATCTCCCATGGACTTGTCCACCATCAAGAAGAAACTGCAAGATTTAAGGTTAGTTGGCATTACTAAGGATTGGTTTAAGATTAATAATTATATTATTTTATAAAAATAGCTACAAATCACGTGAAGACTTTTGCGTGGATGTACGCCAGATCTTTGACAACTGCGAGATGTTCAACGAGGATGACTCGCCTGTGGGCAAGGCGGGCCATGGCATGCGCAAGTTCTTCGAGTCTCGCTGGGCCGAACTGACCGACAAGCACTCCTGATCCAGCAGCACCTATAGCGCCACCACCGCTAGCACCGCCGTCACACATCCCATTGAGATGGTCACCCTGATTGCCGGCTCGCCGGAAGTGGAGGCCACCGAGAGCAAGGGCGTGGAAACGACACCAGCATTAACTGAAGCAGCACAATTTTGGTCAAGAGATTAGAGTAGGATTTAAGCAGAGCTTGTACATAAATAGGGGCTAGAGATGAGTGGTTAGTTAGTAGTCTAGAAGCGCAGACACACTTTAAAATATATATATATATATATATTTATATATGATAGATACACACATACACACACACATGAGAGTATTCAACGTCCTTTGAGAGAGCTAGCTTCGATTGAATCTAATCAGCAGCCAAGGCGAACAAGCAAGAATTGTATTTAGTTTTTTAAGAATCCAAGGGCGGCATCCAATAACTATTAGCCTACATAATCTACAGCTAGAAACCGTATCGCATAAGCAGCCATCTACAGTAGGCACACTTGGACAGAAGGAATTCTAAAAAAAAAAAGATTAAATAAATAAAAATTAAAATATTAAATCACGTACAAAAGAAACTGTCCCCCCCAATTTCCGATCCGCGCGAGTCGTTCGACTGACGACCCGATCCATCGTTTGAACAGTATTTTGTGCACAAAGCTGCGTCGCTTTGTTTTCTACAATTCTAATTCTAAACCTAATTCTAACACTAATTTTAACGATTATTTTTAATGGTATCAACGAAGCGCTCATTTAAGTTTTAAAGTGTATTTTGTACTTATAGCAACTCTGAAAATTGTATTTAAAAAAAAAAATAAGAAAAACGTATATTAGAGATAGGGATAACCCGCGAACAATTATACTCAAGAGGATGAGGATACGAGGAGGAGGATGATTTGTAAATGTAAATGAATGAAAATTAAAAATTAAATGTATTAAATTATTTATATTCTGTGTAAATTTTCCACAATGTAGTTGGTATTTTCAATCGTACATTTTTTCGGCAAATCGCAATCCAAATACACAACTCTAAATCAAATCCAAATTAAATATATAAACAATTAAATTAAAAAAATTATTAAAATGGCGAAAGTAAGATGATATATATGGGGTTAGTTACGAAGGTGGACATATCCTAGCGGGATCTAAGCGCAAATCCAGAACCGATCGAGGGCAGTATTAGAGACATTTCTGACATTTTAGCTGCATATGTATATAGGGAAATCCAATAGGCCTATACTGATGTGAAATATATACATTACAATATACACCCAGATTACACAAAGTTAGCAAAGCAATGATATTTACACGAAAAACTACATTTTTGAATAAAAAAAAAACAAACTCATTTGCAGTGCAGCACAATAATTGAGGAAAAACGAAAATGGGGGAAGAAACATAGAGATGGGGAATGATTTTTGCAACAAAACGATAATAATTTAAACAAAACACAAAAAAAAAAAAACAATATCTTAACAGTGACCAGAACTACCTACCTACAACTCGCAGTTGCAAGATAACAGATACAAGATACAAGATACAAGATGCACGCATGTATTTTTTAGCTCAGCCAGTATAGTTTGTAAAGGGTTTTATTATTTTGGAACCGATATTACCAGACAAAGATATGGGAAGTGAGTTGCATTCGCAAAGAGTTGCTTTTGTATATAGAAAGCTAAAGCCCCCCCAAAAACCATGCATGTACATTGTATATAAGATATAGATACGCCCAGACCCAGACCCAGACCCAGACCCAGTGCTCCCAGCCGACTTGGTGGAGAGCATGTTATTGGCATTCATACAGTTGTGTCACTTCACTATGCAATAATTGGAACCGCATGTCCGGATAGTCCTTGGGAAGGATTCGTCTGAAACGAAACAGATTTTTTCCCGCCATAACAATCGCAAGGTGTACGAGGGAATCTCTATGGATTCGAATAATAATCCTCAATATGCCTAGAGATTTCCTCGATATCTTCGTTTAAAATAACTGCATACATAATGGAATCTTGATTTGTATTTATGTGTGTTCGTGGTGATACAGATATATATACACATATAGAAATATATATATATATATACATACATATATATTTTAAAATTATATGTACCCAAACCTATGCATATGTGAACGTAAATTACTCATTAAAAACAAATATTAAATGATGGATATACTCGATAACCAAGCATCCATAATAATTATGATTGTGAGGGGAAAGCCTAAAGCTAAACCACAAATGCTAAAAAAAAACAGAAGAAATTATAAAACCGAAAAAAATAAAATGCAAAATTACATATTGGTGGGGCATTTTCGACGTTTTGTGCACATGGAAAATATAAGTAAATCATATAAAATTAAAAAAAACAAAAAAATAAAATATATAAGACAGTTGTTTTGATGGGAAAGGGTGGCTGACACGCTCCATCTCCGATTACCATCCGATCTGATCTCTGGCCAATCGGCATCTTTAAGGCCAAGCTAACCGCAAGCTTCTTGGCCTGGCCAATGGCCAACGTTTTACCGTTTACCGTTGCGTTTGGGGCATGCTTCGTTGGCTGTGACAGGCCATAATCACACAAATTAAACGCAACAATCTGCATTTTGCATTTTTGCAATTTGCCTCTGAAAGCGCATCAGAAACTCACCGCAACTGTCGGAGATCGTTAAAGGTAATTGCCCAGTGGGCAGGAAATCTTTTTATGAGGGGTTCCTGGTCTTAAAATCAATCAACCCAGAGCATAAATCATACATTTTGTATTGCTGACATATTGGCAATAGGTGCGAAGTTCTTTTTACCAGGAAATCATGAAATTAGTGCCTTTTATTCAAATCTTGTGTGTGGGAACTGTGTTTATGGCCGAGGTGTTAATATTTTAGGTTTTTTTTTTTCTAATCCCCAGCAATCAGCGTTTTAAAAGCCGACAGACCAAGTCTGACAAAATATCTCTTTTTCTTGTGGTCTTCGGTTTTTTTTTTGTTATCCCCAATACCCCAACCGGGTTTCAGGTTCGGGAGTATTGACAGTTGGAAACTCGAAACGCTTTAAAAATCGCTGATTTATGTAATTATTCGCGGCGACAAGAATTTCGTGCGCAGCAGCCCAGCAGCGAGCCCCAAAAAGACCCAGAAAGTGGTAAGGGGGAACTGCAGTGGAGAACCACGACTGAAGATTGGGTCCTCAGTGCCAGCCACAGCTTCAGTTCCAGCTTTAGTTCCAGCCACATTATCAAAACATCATGGAAGATGACCAAATTAACTGGGACCCAGCCGCGGAAGACAGACTGAGACTATGCACTGAAAGAAAACAAAAAAAAAAGGTGTAAATTATGAAATAAAATTATATAGACATTAGGTTTTAATATTTATAATAAATTCTTTAAAAATAATTTCATCTTAAACCACAAAATATATTAGATTCTTTTCATTATTTAAGTCAATTTAAAATCTTTCTCTGCAACCTCATCTTCTTGGCCAACTGCAATGGCGACTACTTAGCGGGGCTACCTGGCCAGAACCCCTCCTTCCCCCCTGGTCATCCCGCGCCTCTGTCTGCCTCGAAGGGCAATAAAATTGACTCCATCGAAATTAAGAACGAACCAAACAAAATTGTATTGAAAAGTCTCTGTGGAACTGCAGTCGAGGCGGAGAAAAGGGGGACTGGCCAACTAATTTAGTGCCCTGCACCGAAACGAGTTTGCTGCCGTGGCTGCATCCTCCAATATACCACATCCCCCACATCCCAGTTATATATATATATCGTATATCGTATATACATATGCATAAATACATATGAAAGAAGTCGCGGAGCTGTGGGTTCGTTGCCCAAAATGGAGATTTTCGAAGTTGCCGGCAGTCGTGGCTCTCGATTTGGGTTTTTATGTGGCCCGGGTGGTTGCCTCTTGATTGGGACATTAATTAAGACACAAATTGCTATACCAAAATGTGAAGTTGAGACAGAAACTATACCATCGAGGCATACCAAACTAAGTACACAAGTTGCCACATGCATATTTAATTTAATGCTGCGTTCCAAAACCACGACAGCTCAATGGGGATGGGGATGTGGATGGGGGCTGCTCGACTTGCTCGAAAAATGGCTCCTGGGAAAGTAACCAAAACTAATGGAAGCGAATAATTAAATTGGCCATGACCAGGCATTTTATAGAAACATGAAACATGGTAAAGATAGTTTTTGAAAATTGTTTACTTAGAGGGGGTTATAGTTTATAATTAAAGAGGTAATGTATGGAAGATCTCGAAAGACAGGGTTTCTTTTTTAAAAATGTATTTTGGATGGAGTATAATTTTTTAAAGAACTGTTTATAGTTAATATTCAGAAATTATTTCTTTTTGAAATACTTTAAAAGGAATATTTTAAAATAATATCATCAAGATTTTATGGGGGATCCTAACTAAATCCTACTTATATCATAACTTAAAGATCCAGTTTCTTGACTAATCTACGACTTTTTGTAATTATTGTAATATAATACATATAATTTTAAAATTTTAAGAAATTTTAAAGAAACTACAGTAAAATAAAAAAGGTTTTGTTGGGTTTCTGTTTAAAAGCTAAAGGGGACAAACCGGAGGCCAAGGATCGATGGCTACTGGCGATGTTTGATGATGCCATCTGTGTCGGGCAGCCTGACATGGCAGTTGCTTGTCCCCTGTCCTCCGTCTTCCATCTCATATGGTTACTCCATCTCCCCCTACTATCGCACTGTCTTGATCGTCTTTGTATTTTTCTTGGACTTGGTCTTGGAGTCAGACTTGGCTTGGACTTGGACTTGGACAACGACATCATATTGGTGACACATGAACACGATGGCGAGCTTCCAGGCAGGAGTCAGTCTATAAAGTTGGCAAAGCCACGGCTGCTTCTGTTGCTGCTGCTGTAGCTGTTGCAAGACCAACAACGTGCAACATTTGCATTTTTTTAATTTGCTACAACTGCAACGAGTGCTGCTGCTGCAACGACTGCTGCGAGTGCAACTCCATCTGCGTTGCCATCTCTCTTGGCCTTCCATCGCCAAGTTGGCGTGCGCTCGGTTGGGTAAGGTCCGTGCCATTTACGGGGGGGCTCCTTTATCGGGAAATGAAAACATCAGGGCCCAGCCCCGGAGGCGTTTGCCTTTTCTTTTCAGTTTATTTTCGACCCGAAAAGGAGTCTTTCCCAGCCAGATGGCCTCGGGTCAGGTCGACTTGAAGCTTGCACAGCTGAAGGAGATAAAAGAAAAAAGGGTTTTAGAGATCAATCTTCTCCCGAGGAAGCTATCAGGCATTATTTTTTATCAATTAAATAATCCAGATAATAATCATTTCTTAATGGTTTCATTTATTTTTTGTACACCCTTCTATTGACTTTAATTTCATATAATTTTTTTTCCATGTGAGACCTCAAAAGTGGGAAGATTGCTGGGAGAAACTCGAGCTTTAATGGCCCGGCTAATCATGATTTCCGTTCGCACTATTTAAGCCGCTCACAAATCATGATGCGCTCGGTGTCAGATCTCGAATCTCCAATCCCCAATCTGAGAAAAAGAGTTAACTACCGGACTGCCAACTGGCAACAGCTTGGGCGTTGGCGGCTCCTCGCTTTTCATGTCTAATTGTCTTTGTAATTCTAGAGAAATTGCAGCCGCTGAGACCAGCAGAGTCTTGGCCACTTGATTTATGCGTAGGGGAAAAGGAAATGGCAAAGGCAAAGGAAAAAAAAATAGTTTTTAATTAAAAATATTTTATGCTCGATTTCTGACGAAGCTGCATTAGCCACTCGCCCCATCTCTCTCTAGCTGTGTATACCCATCTCCCTTTACCAGCGCACTTTAGTAGGTTGTGTGTGTCGGCCATATTGTCGGCCATTAAAACAATTCTACACATTTTCCAAGCAGCCAACTCCAGGTGCAGAGTTGGCCACTTGGCCCAGACCAAGAGACTAAGACCAAATCCAAAATACCCCAAGACCTGGCCAAGTCGAATCCAGTTGGCCGACACCCATTAGTGCTCAACATGGAAGCTTCGGCGCTCATTCGATTTTAATTGCCACCTTTTGCCGTGTTGGCCCTTTTCGTGGGATTTTTCAGTTTCTGTTTCAGTTTTTGGTTTTGGTTTTTGATTTTTCGTTTTCGAGCTCCTCGCTTTTGGTCATTAGCGTTGGGCCTGCGTGTAAAATGGCAGCTCATTGCGGTTGTCCACTCAAAATTACACAGAGGAATATGTATATACCCTTTCAGGATTTAGGGTTTTTAAAAAATATAAATATTCAAAATGAAAATTCAAAAAAAACGATAGAAATTTATGTCTTATGAGTATAATTAAGGCTAACAAGCAACGAAGATTTGAAAGCCTAGAACCCTGCTTTCAAAGTAAAGATCCTCCGTTCCTTCCTCTATATATCCCACTAATATTCTCCCCATTTTTTATTCCCAGTGCATTCTACAAAGTTGTCGACATATTGAGGTTGATTCGTTCGGTTTGGTTTTGTTTTTTGGTTAGGTTTGTAACTAAT